TCACATGTCCACTGACTCATTTTTTTTCCTCTGGTGGACAGTTGATTTGGAATACAGCTCTCCAGCTAAACCTATAGGAGGGTCCTTCCTCTTCCAGGAATAAACAAAACATGTCCAGACAAAGCAAATCAGTCCATTCATCCCCTTGCTGGACTCAGATGAGGTACAGGGGAACATAATTCCACCTTCAACTCTGAAATCTCACTCTGAGACCCTAAATTTTCAAGCAGGGTGTCATCTTCACAGTCTCTCTTGGCCATTTCCTATGTGTCTTTATTATAGTAGGTTAAGACACCATGGTTGGAAAGATTCCTTAATGTTCCTGCTCCCTGAAGGTGTCTGTCACTTGTCAAGACTTCCTATTTGGCTCTAAAGTATTTCTAGGTCCTCCTAGCACTCACGACACTTCCTGTGCAAACCACAATCTTCAGATTATGTACTCCTCTTTTCAAGCACAACCACATGCTGAACTATTGCCAATTCACAGATTTACTGTGGTAAATTCTAGCAGAGATGTGATTCTTCTGAAGCAAAACAAAAGAAATACATTCCTACAAACAGTTGTGTAGACCAAGGAAAGGCGAACTAAACCTCAAAATCAAAGAGCACGAGTCTAGACCAAGCTCTTTAAAACTGTTGTAAATAAATTTGTGCACATCACAACTCTTTTTCTGAACCAACATTTCACATATTACGGAATAACGCTAAATCACCTCTTTCACAGATAAGATAACTAAGCACCTGCACAAGGTCACTTCCGGCACAATCCAGAACAGTACCCAAGACTCTAGTACAGAACTATCTTATATCTACTTTGCCATACATTCTGTTAGAAGGAATATGGCAAATTAGATGCTTGTGAATTCTATATTAACACAGTATGGTACTGTGTCATTCTCTAGAACAGGGGTGGGCAATAATTTCCACTCCAAGATTTTGGTAAGCTGTCATGGGTCGCACTTCTGTGGAGGGGGCACAGAGTCTCGGATGGTGGGTGGAGTGCAGAAGGGAGCTTGTGATAGAGGGCGGGGTGCCGGGGGGCAATGTGTGGGGTGGGCCAGGACGGGGTGCCGGACACGTGGCAGGGGTGCAGCTTGTGGGAATAGGGCCTGACAGGTACCAGGGAGGCAGTGGGTGGTGGGGAGGACTCGGTGCTGCAGAGTGTGTTGATGCTCCCAGCAGCTGCACAACTCCATTGGCAGCAGCATCTTCCCTTGGATTTCTGTTTCCTATGCCGGAGAGCAGCTCTAAGGCTGGAGCGGCATCAATAAGCCCTTCTGAGCCCTTTGGATGGGAATGCACAGGGAGAGTAGCAGAAACTGGCTTTTAGGGCTGCAGAGCTATCGCCTGGGCATCCCAGCTGTGTCTGGCCTTGGTTCCCAGTGTGGTCAGTGATCCGTCCAGCTGAGGACTTAGGGGAGAGGTGGGCAAAACAGCACGAGATGTTCAGTCTCACTAACCCAAGCAATAGATTGATTGGCTCAGCACATCCTTAACATCCTGTTTAGACAGCCACATCACAGTGACTAATGCATCTTCCCACCCCAGGGTGGCTAGTGCCCTGGAAGAGGGCATGCCCAGCTCACTAAGGAGACACTGTGAAAATGACAAGCCATTGTAATCAGCACAGGACATAGAAATGGAACTGGGGAGAGAAGAGAGACTGGTTAAAAGAAAGGCTCTGGGCTGCAAGTTGCAAAATCAGAAGCACAGGGATCTAGGGGTCATAGTGGACCACAAGTTGAATATGAGTCAACAGTGTGATGCTGTTGCAAAAAAAGCAAATATGATTCTAGGTTGTATCAACAGGTGTGTTGTAAGCAAAACTCGTGAAGTCATTCTGCCGCTCTACTCTGCACTAGTTAGGCCTCAGCTGGAGTACTGTGTCCAGTTCTGGGTGCCACATTTCAAGAAAGATGTGGAGAAATTGGAAAGGGTACAGAGAAGAGCGACAAGAATGATTAAAGGTTTAGAGAACATGACCTATGAAGCCAGGCTTCATGAACTGGGCTTGTTTAGTTTGGAAAAAAGAAGATTAAGGGGGGACATGATAGCAGTTTTCAAATATCTAAAAGGGTGTCACAAGGAGGAAGGAGAAAATTTGTTCCTCTTGGTTTCTGAGGACAGGACAAGGAGTAATGGGCTTAAAGTGCAGCAGGGGAGGTTTAGATTGGACATTAGGAAAAAATTCCTAACTGTCAGGGTGGTCAAACATTGGAATAAATTGCCAAGAGAGGTGGTGGAATCTCCCTCTCTGGAGATATTTAAGAACAGGTTAGATAGACATCTGTCAGGGATGGTGTAGATGGAGCTTGGTCCTGCCTTGAGGGCGGGGGGCTGGACTCGATGACCTCTTGAGGTCCCTTCCAGTCCTATGATGCTATGATTAAGTGTAGCCAGGACATGTGGGAGGGATGATCTGGCAGCCAGAACCTGGGGCAGCTGGAGTGGCCAGAAGGATCTGGGAGCAGGGCAGGTGGCAAAGGAGACCACCTGGGTCTGTGATGGGATGAGGATGCAGGACAGGCCGGTGCTGGTTGAGACTCAGTGTGCATCTCCCACAGCAGGAACGAGCCCTATTCTATGCAGAGCTGAGGCAGTTGGATGTTGTGTTAGAAGCTGGGGCTCTTGATACCAGACAGGGATTGACAAACCCCAAGGTTGAGAATAGCCACAAAACTGTACAGGGAGTTGGAAGGGACAGTTGGCCTGAGGGCAAAGGAGTGAGCCCCAAGAAGGGAGAGGGGTAAGATTAAGAGCTGCAGCAAGGGGCTAAGAAGGTGCATCTACCTCTCTTGATTCCTCCTGGAGCTTCAGTCTGACAGGGGTTCCTGCTTGGCACTCCTGTGTGGCTGTTAAACAGCTGTCCTCCTTCCCCTCAGAGGTGGCTGCAGGTTGGTGCTGGGTATGGGGAAATGCTTTGGTAGCCTTCAGGGGAAAAGAGCTAGGAATGTACTGAGTTGATTATTTAGGGGTGGGGTGGGCCACTGGCCCACAAAAAAATCAGTGAGGGCCACACATACCTGAGAAGCAAAACAAAACCCCAAAAACCCACCTCACTGACCTGACTCCCAGCAGGTTTGGGGCTCACACTGCAGCCCTGCAGGCTGGATCCAAGTAAGCCAGGGACCAAATCTAGCCTGCGGGTGGTAGGATCTTCATGACTGATTTAGGATGTGGTCTCTCTCCAGCATTTTCTACTTATTTGTCCCTGGACGAGGTCCCCGTGCAGCACCGGAGGTACAGACTCTCTCCATCACCGGGCTGGATTATCTCAGGGTTCAGGGCGCTGTGATTGGGATGGGGGTTTGAAACCCGCCTGCAAGGGAGAGGTCCCTGTGCAGCGCCGGAGGTAGACTCTCTCCATCACAGGGCTGGATTATCTCAGGGTTCAGGGTGCTGTGATTGGAATGGGGGTTTGAAACCCGCCTGCAAGGGTGGGGAGAGCCCATCTGCATCACTCTGTTGCCATGAGGTGCCTTGTTACCGGGGGCAATGTCAAAGGTGAGTGCCAGGCTACCAGCTGGGCATGGGGTGGGGAATGGGGCATGTGGCAGGTACCAGCTCCCATCTGGCCCCAAGGCGGGGGGGGGAGTGGCTGGCTCAGCAGGGGGGGGAACGGATCAGGGGCCTTTCCCTCTAGGAGGCACTGGCTGCAAATGGCTGTGTTTCCTGCCTCAGAGAGCTGGAGTTAAGGGGAGTGAGGACAAGATGGGGCTGGACCTGGGGATACTAGGTGGAGACAGGCCCTGGGTCACAGTCTCTCTCTTTCCCCCTCAGTCCTCGGGAAAGCTGTGCATTCTCTGTCCCGCATCGGAGACGAGCTCTACGTAGAGCCCACGGAGGACGGGGTAAGGGGGCAGCTCTAACCAGTCGGGGTGGGGGCACTGTTCTGATCCGAGGGGGAGGGGAGAACTGAAGGGAGAGAGCTTCCATCAGGGTTTGGGGGTTATTTATCGCAGGGCTCCTAGGGGAGCAAGTTGGGTCACCCTGGTTGGTGACGGAGCTGGCTCTTCCCTGAGGAGCTGCTGGGGATGAGGTGCTGGGTGGGGACAGGGCAGGCTCTCTCCTGGTAAGGGTGGGGGGGAGAGACTGTTTAATGAAGGGGTTGGCTCTCCCTTCCACAGCTCTCTCTGCGTGCTGTCAACTCCTCCCGCTCGGCCTACGCGTGCTTCCTGTTTGCCCCGCTCTTTTTCCAGCTCTACGAGGAGGGGAGCCCAGACCCCGATGGGGAGACCTTCCGCTGTAAGGTCCTCATGAAGGTGAGGCTGCTGTGTGGGGCATCCAGGACAGGTTTCATTGGGGTGCCCGGGGGCAAGGCACAGGAGTAACTGGGATGTGGGGAGTCCTGCAGAGGGCCCTGGCTCGATTGTCTGTGTGTGGGGCTGGGCTCAGTTGCTCAGGGAGAGCTTTCTCCTAGCAGTTTCTCCCTGGTCTCTGTGTCAATGATGTGGGACTCTCCGTGGGGTGCCCTGCAGGGATCAGGAGTGGTGACTCTCTTCACCCTTGGCAGTGAGTGTAGCTGGCACGAGGAGGGGGGAGCAGGTATCAGGGGCTTGTGACCACCCTGTTCCATGGAAAAGAATCCTGGTGGGAACTGGGACTTCTGGGTTCTTTCCTGGGTTACAGCAGGATGGCTGGGAGGCAGGATTCCTAGGTTCTTTCCCTGACTCTGGGAGGGGAATCGGTGTCTTGTGGTTACAGCAGGGGAGCCGGGAGCCAGGGCTCCTGGATTCTGTCCCCGGCTATGCTGGGTGGAGCTGCTCCATGAGGCTGTTTCCCCAGCTGTGTGGCAGGCAGTGAGGGTAGTGACAGGGTTGGGGGTGTGTCTCTCTCCTCCCAGTCCTTCCTGGGTGTGTTCCGCTCATTGCCCTCGCTGGAGAAGACGGTCGAGAAGTGTCTGATATCCCTGAAGCCCCGGGCCAGCCGACTGGTCGTGCAGCTGCACTGCAAATATGGTGAGTGCTGCCCTGTGGGGGCAAGAAGGGGCATCTAGGAAGCCCCATTAGTGGAGGGGGTGGTGATTGGGGAGCCCTCCACTGGGAGGGATCATCTCAATAGTCAAGCAAGGGAGCCTGGATTGAGGCCTGGGGCCAGCGGACCTCTATCCACCTAGCTCCCAGTGCGAGGTACCAGGGAGCAGAAGGGACGCGTGCAGGTGGCTAGGGATGAGTGAAGCTTGGAGGGTGTGGAGGAGGGGCAGACCCCTGGCCTGGTTCCCTATTGAACACAAGGCCGGGCTGGGGAGGCGCATTGAGCAGGCTCCGGGTCTGCTGATGGCCATGATGGAGGATCCCTGAGCCGTTGTCCCTGTGCCCTTGGCAGGCGTCACCAAGACCCACAACCTGTCATTCCAAGAGTGCGAGTTGCTGCAGGCCGTTTTCGACAAGGAGCTGTGCGCCAACGCCCTGCACGCCCCTGCCCGGTGAGTGGGCTCTGCTGAGTCTGGCCAGAGCCTGCCGTAAGGACAAGGGGTTCTCGGACACCTTTCTCAGGCCCCCAGCATGGTAGGAGGACCCCATCACCCGCTGGGGAGCTGTCGGAGCAGGGGCTGCTCCTGGGGGGCAGGGGCATTAGCCATGTGGGACCAGAGCTCAGAGTATTCACCACAGAGCGGGGGGACCTTGGGGCTCTGGGCTTGAGCCAATAGGGAGGGTTCAGGGCTTTAGCTGTGTGGGACTGGAGCCTTCGGGTTCACAAGCATCAGGGCTTGGCCCTCGAGGTTTCAGCCCCACAACTCCAGCCCTGTGAGGGTGCAGGGGTTCTGGGCTTTGGCTGCAGGCCCCACTGACCCTGAAACCAGCTTGCAAACTCCTGGGTCAGAGCCACTGGAGAGGGGGATCTGGGGGTATGTGCTGTCTCCTTTGGCTGGTGACTTGGCAAGGATGGTGTGGGAGGATCGGGGGTGGGGTAGAGGCTGATACTCTGGGGTGCTAGGTGGGCACAGAGGGTAGGAGAAGGGGGCACTAGGCAGCTGTGCCTGTAGGGCAGGGTCACAGCTTGTTCACCTCTGGCGGCAGGGTGCTGGTGGATGCTGTGGTCCATTTCCCAGTGACGCTGGCCGAGGTGACGCTGGGGGTCAGCCCTGCCGGGAAGGTGAGCTTCCGCAACTACCTGGATGAGGAGACAGGTGAGCCATCGCCACCCTCCGTGGTTTACTGCTTGGATGGGCTCCATCCCCCAGACACAGGCCCAGCTCAGGACTGTACCCTGCACTCCCTAGAAGGGAAAAGCTTCGTGTCCCCCTGCTCAGGGGCAGGATTGGAGGTGGCACTCGCTAAAGGGGAAGGGCTCCACGTCACACAGCAGGAGTCCCAGGGTTTGGACTGGCTGGCATCTCTGGGGCAGGAAGCTTTGGCAGCAGATGGAACAGTGGCGAGTGGGTGGTGGGCCGTGTTCCCTCTCACCTTTTCTATCCATGTGCAGATGTTTTTTCTGACAAGGTGTGGAATAAATGTTATGGGCACTAAGCATGCGTGAACGTGCACCACCAGTAGAAACAAAAACCTAGCCGGGGGGCTCTGGTAATCAGCTTGCTGGCTTGACCCAGTCCTGAGCAGCCACACAAGCACCCAGTTTACAGGGAACACTCCTAGGCTATGTCTACACTTGCAGCTTCTTGAGTGAGAAATAAGCAAATGAAGCTAAGCCTCATTTGCATACCTAATGAGCCGATTATTTTCAGGCATAACGGCATTGCGCAAGAGCCTCTTTTGCAAAAATGACGGCTCATTCGGGATGCAAATGAGGCACGGTGATCGTCCATGCTTAGCCTCATTTGCATATTTCTCGAGCAAGAAGCTGTGAGTGTGGACATAGCCCTGGGGGATGGCTTGGCAGTGTTGGGCGCCCAGGGAGCTGCTGCTGAGCCCCCCCTCTCTTCTCAGAGCCCAGCAGGACAATGGTGACAGAGTTGTGCCTCTCCGAGGACGAGTTCCAGGATGTCCGGATACAGCAGCAATCGCATGTCACCTTCTGCCTCAAGGAGTTCCGGGTGAGTGAGTAGGGTCCCCCTGCTGTAGCCCCAGAGGGTAGGGCCACCCCACTGAATCTGTCTGTCTGCCCACAGGGTCTCCTGAGTTTTGCTGAGTCCTCCAACCTGCCCCTCAACATCTACTTCGACTGCCCTGGCAGGTATGTCCAGGCCGGCCTTGCAGGGGAGGAGGGGGATGCTCCCTCTACCTCAGTGCCCTGGGCTGGCTCTCCCCAGCTGGAGTCACATTTTCATTGCCACTGTCGTTCCCTGTCCATGTCTGTGATCCTCTTGATGGGTTGGGGGCCTCCCTTGTGCCCTCCCCACCCCCGTGCTGCAGATCTCTACACACACAGCCAGTGCTGTCCCTCTAGGGTCCTGATCCCTTCCCCATGTGTTTCATTCCACTCTGCTATCCCTGTAGGCCAGCCATCTTCACCCTGTCGGACCCCCTGCTGGAAGTGCACCTCGTCCTGGCCACCCTGTCAGACCCTAACAGCAGCTTAGAGGTCCCCTCCACAACCTTGCGGGCCCGACCAGCCAATGGGTAAGTAGGATCCTGAGGGTTTGACAGTGGCATGTAACCAGTTGTCATTAGGGTCCAGAGTGAACCACCCCAGTGAACTGTCTGGCTGGTGCCTCCCTCTTAGGGCTGCTATTGCAGACTCAAGCAACAGCTGCCGTAGGGCAGCCGAAGGGTAGGAGAGCTGGGCTACGGGGCTGATCGCTGGAGGCAGAGGGAAGAGCCCATCTCCAGAGGCAAGGTTGGAGTCTGGCCCCAGCCCTGCTTCCCCTCTCCCCACAGCACTTTCCCCCCGGCTGTGCCTGATGATGACTTCAGTGGTGATGACATCGATTCCTACATGATTGCTATGGAGACCACGTGTGAGGAGGGGCCTGGGCTACCCTCCAGCCCCACCTTTCCCCAGAGACGCCCCCATCCAGGCGCTGCGCTGGAGTCAGAGAGCAGCTCCCTGGAAAGTGACCAGGAGGGGGCTGTGCCAGGGACCCCCCCACAGAAAAAGGTATGGGGGGGGCAGTGTGGGCAGAGCCACCTGGGCTGTTCTGGGGAGGGGAGCTGTGTGGACTTGCCCCTGGTGTACTGGAGCCAGCGGAAGGGGAACCACTGAGGGGGAGTATGGAGGAGGGGAAGCTGCACCATTCTCCACTCACATCCTGCTGGATCTCTTACAGTTCCGCTCCTTGTTCTTTGGGTCGGTGCTGTCCCAGTCTCAGGCGGGCACCCACACTGGGCCCAGCCAGGATGTGCTGGCTGAGGACAGCGAAGGAGAGTCCTGAGAGGTCCCGTTCTGCCCTTGCCCCCTCCCCAAGAGAGCCCCCGGCAGCCTGGATGGAGAAGCAGGACCTGGCACCTCTGCTGGAGCGGAGCCGGAAGTCTGGGCTGGGGCTGCTGCTTCCAAGCCACTGAACAGACCATGCCCTGTAAATAAACCCTTTGTAATAAAACAGGCTGCTGCCTCCAGGGCTGTTGCTGAAGGAGCTCGGCCCCTGCACTCCACCCCCCACAAAAAAAAAACACTGGCACCAGCTTGGAGGGAGGGGGGAGAATAGCAGGCAGGCTCCTGTACCTGGAAGAGGCTGTGCCAGGAGGGGGAGGCAAGGTATTCCCCACACCCACCCTGTGCCGCTGGTTATTGTAGCCAAGCTAAGTCTCCCTTCTTGTAAGGCGGGGCGGGGGGAGATCCCATACCATCTCCCTGAGCTTCTCCCGCAGAAAGAAGCCTGAATCAGAGCAAATTTCTGGCAGAGCCCAGGTGCCAGTCCCAAGGGGGCCAGTGCCAGAGCTGAGCTGAACCTCACAGTACCCCTCTTACTGCCCCACAAGCATAAGCTGACACAGGCCTGGTAACCCACCCCCCTTTCCTCTGCTTAGACGCCACCAACTCTGCCAGTGCCATGGGCTCCTACAGTGGCCCATGGCAACTGCCCAGCCCCCTTCTGCTGGGGGCACACACTAGGCACAGCTGGGCTGGGTCCTACTCCCGGGCACATGGCTGATCCCAGCCGTGCTCTTTCCTGGCCACAATGGAGGCAGAAAGCATGGTCCTGTGCTCCCACCCCCCACATGCATAAAAGCCCCTTAGAACAGAGGCCAGGGAAGAAAGGGAAGGGCTGCTCTGAACCCCCCTTCCCTGAGCAGCTAAGTTCAGCCCGAGATCCTCTGCCACAGTGTAACCCCCAATGCCTCCTCCACCCAGCCTGGAGTCAGCTGCCTCTGCCCCCCTCAGCAGCCAAGGGGCCCCTCTCTCCTTTGCCCCACCAGGAAGCTAGATCAGAGCGCCAGCATAACTCTCCATGCAGTTAGTGACAGCACGGCTCTCCCCAGGAAGGCGAGATAGGAAGCCCCTGTGGGATTGGGGGCAGCAGGCAGGTGCTGAGGGGAGATGCCCCGGGGCATGGAGAATGGTAGGGGGCAGTTCCTGGAACGGGCAGAGCCTCAGCCCAGGGCTGGCTGGGGTCTATAACCTGGCAGGGGAGCCCTGGCCCAGGCTAGGAACAGAGGGAAGAGGAAGCAGCAGGGTTAAGAATTTCTGGTAAATATTTATTCAAAAAGATTCTCAGCAGCAGGGGGGAGGGGCAGGGGCTCAACTGGCAAAATAGACGTGATCCAAAAAAAAAGAAAAGTGAAACCCCCTCCCCAGAAATCAAGAGCCATCCCCAGCCCCCCCTCCCTGGAGCAGGATTTTTGGTAGCAAACTCCAGGAGTTTAAAAATAACAATTCAGCTCTGCCCCAGGCAGGCAGGGTGGGCACTGGACAGCAGAGCCCCGGGGCAGAGAGCCAGGGCAGCCGGGGGGTGGGCCCAGCCCCCCAGTCCGTGGGGCAGGGTGGGGGGGAACAGCCGGTTACTTCTTGGCTTTGGCCGAGTTGCGCGGGGGCGTGACAGGGCGCCCGCCGGGGGTCAGGCCGCTGAACTGCCCGTACTTGCCCTTGTTCTTGTCAGCTGGTTTCAGGATCTGCAGGAGGAAAGGTGGGTTGGCTGTGGGGACGGGGGGTGGGCCCTGCCCACGGAGAGCTGGCACAGCTGCTGGTCCATGACGCGTGCCAGCCCCCACAGCCCACAGGATCTACTGCTCTTGAAATTAGCTGAAGAAGTGGCTGCCATGGAGACACCCACCTGCCACCCGGCATGCAGGTTCCTATGAGGCCCAGACCTTTCCCCAGCTGGGCTGTCACCCCCCTCCCCCCCCGTGTCCTCTGCAGATTTCTTCCTCAAGTCGCCCTTATACCAACCAAGGCCTGACGCCCCTCCCACCTCCTGCCCACAGAGGGCTAGAGCTGCCCGACATCCTCTCTGGATCTGCCTGGCACAAAGCTCAGGCTTTAGGGCCAATGCTGCCCCCGTGGAACTGGTTTCACCTGCCCCGGCAGGGCACTGCCCCCTCCCTGGCTCACCTGGAAGGAGCACATGAGTGTCTCATCCACGCTCATCATGGCACCCGCGTTGTCAAACTCGCCACAGTAATTGGGGGCGGAGAAAAGTGTCACCAGCTGGCGCTTGGCAAAGAACTCGTAACCATCTTCCACTACCTGGGGCAGGGAGACATGGCGTAATACCCAGCCCTGGAGCACCGCTCTACCCACCTCAGGCACAGGGACCTCTGCTCAGTGCCCCCAGCTCTGCCTGACGTCACAGTGAATGTCCCAAAAGTCACAGCCAACCCCTCTCCATCACCCATGCAGGAGGTAGGAGCAGGAAACAGACTCCTCCGAACAATACAAACCAGCCCACACCAGCAGGTTCCTGCACCCCAGCCAGGGGAAATCTTTCCAGCAGAGCACCCCATGCAGCTCTGCCAAGGCCTCTACACCGCAACCAACATGGCCTTGCTATCCCAGCCCTTCTGATGCCCCTCAATCCCACCCCACAGCACCTTTGAGCCGGTACCTGGTGTGCCCTACAGATCAGGTCCAGGTCATGTTTGTGCAGGAACTTGGCGACCACCTCGGAGCCAAAGGTGAAGGAGACACCACGATCATTCTCGCCCCAGCCCTGGACATCCTTGTCAGGGTCAGACCACAGGAGGTCGCACAGCAGCCCCTGATCCGGCACATCTGTGGGGCGCATGATCCTGCGGATCTGCTCCATTGACTGCAAGTCTGGAGACAGCCCTGAAGGGAGGGGAGATGGGTCTGTTAGACTCTGCCCCTCACTGGAGCCTGGCCCACTCTGGCAGCATAATAGGGTCCTTCATTTTCAGTTTTTATTTTTTCCCCCTGCAATTTATCAGTATTTAACCTTACAACCACAAAAAGAGGTGGGGAGGGGGAATCATTTTTCTGTGTAAATATCAGGATTTATATTGGTAGGTGAAAACACAGTAAAGTGTCCAGTAGATTAAGGGTTTGAATTCTGTTCATCAGTGTGGTTTGCTACAGAACTAAAACAGAACAACACACAATGTCACCTCTGAGTTTCAGAAAACAATGTATAGGTTGCTGGTGCTGAACCACGGGAGGTCAGTATTGTCTAGCAGCATCGCCAACACGTCCACTGCTTACTGGGCTCGTGACAAGACATTTAGGGGTAAATCAGAGCAAAGCAACAGCACAGAACCAGGACCGGTGTCTGTAAACCAACTTTATGGGACCCTGGGAAACTTGGCCATGCCCATGGTAAGTGGACATCCAGCTGCCTAAATCATGCCAGACCACAGATGATGCTGGAGCAGAGTGTGCCATACTAGAAAGGTTCAACCTGTATCTTTAATCCCCTTCATTTGACTAAAAATGTTACTGATGTAGACTTAGAACTATTAGCCTATAAATATTTACATTTAATAATTGGGCCACACCATTTGCAGCAGACAATTTCATCTTTCTTGCCTGTTTCTGTTTTTAATTTTTCAATACTTGTATTCTGAAATGTATTTAGAAAGATTATCATTTCCTCCCGTTAGTGAGTCAGAGCTTTAAACCATTACCTGCTAAAAAACTTGAAACATGTATGTGGTGGGCGTGAGATTCATCAGTACATTCAGATGCTCACGTACTTCAGAGCTTGCATGCATGCCCACTTGTTTATTGGGTGCATCTTCTAGGCTAATACAAGGCTGCTTGCATCAGGCAGCTTTGCATAACCACACAGACTCCTGTATTACTGCAATGCACTGTATTTTCCTAATAAATTAGCTTTATATATTTAAAGGATACAAAAATACGGTGAAAATTAGAAAAAAAAATGGAATACTTTTTGTAAAATCCAGGGATTTTTTTAATCAAAACCTGTTTCAACTGAATATGAAGGGATTTACATAATATCCACGCCCAGTCACAGCCCCATAGCAACTGCCCTCCTCCACATATCTGCATTGCAGCACCCCACCCCAGATATGCCCCATACTCCGCTCCAGATGGGGTCCTGCAGCAGGCAGGAAGCTGCTCCCTCTGCCTGACCCTCCGGTTAACCTGTTACCAGATAAGCATGCCGATCAGGCTAATGCTTACTGCATAACTGGTTAACCTTTTACATCCCTACCCAGCATCCTCTAGCCCTGCCTAGCACCCACCCCACCCACGCAGCAATGCCCTGCCCAGCCCAAAGCCCCTGGTGCCTAGCTCCCCCTGCCATCCCTAGCAGCACCCTCTGCTGGGCCAAGCCCCTTTGGAGTTCCTGCAGCACCCCGCTGTGCCGTCTCCCTCCCTACTGGGGACAAGGAGGCACCACCCCGCCCCCTGCCTCGCAGCCCTTTCACCCACCTCCATGGCAGCAGAAGATTTTCTCATCCACAATGGCAGCAATGGGCAGGCAGTTGAAGCAGTCGGTGAACGTCTTCCACAGCTTGATGTTGTAGCGCCTCTTGCCTGTGAGACAACAGGGCAGGTGGGGGCCCAGTCACTGAGGCAGACATGGGAGGGGGCCGGACCCACCAATCCTTCCAAGGCTGGGCCCTGGTCTGCGGGGCAAGACCCAGGTCATACAGGGAGCAAAGTGAACCATGCAGGGATGGTGCACAGGGCTTTCTTCTACAGGGGATGTCAGTCTAACCCCACGGTTAGCTAGACAGCACCTGGGAGGTTGGGCAGAGACTGCCCTCTGCCATGGATGCTGGCGCACTTGTGGTTGGAGGTGTGGGGGGCATGGTGGTCAGGGCAGAGGAGGTACAAGAGTACAGACGTGGGACTGTAAGGGAATGCACGGGGGCAGGAGAAATGGGTGCACCCTCATGGTACATGCCGTATAGTCGATGCTGGCGCACTCCTGGTGGTGTGTGGGGAGCAGGGTGGTGGGGACTCGGGCAGGGGCCACACTCACACTCATCGTAGAAGCCGTAGATACGGTTGATGCTGGCGCACTCGTGGTTGCCACGCAGCAGGAAGAAGTTCTCAGGGTACTTGATCTTGTAGGCCAACAGGAGGCAGATGGTCTCCAATGACTGCTTGCCCCGGTCCACATAGTCGCCCAGAAAGAGGTAGTTGCTCTCAGGTGGGAAGCCCCCATATTCAAAGAGCCGCAGCAGGTCATAGTACTGCCCGTGGATGTCACCTGGGGAGGGCAGGAAGTGAGATAAGAACACAGCCCCACCCCTGACCTCCCACCCAGCCCGGTCTGAGCCAGGGACTCCACCCACAGCAAACAAGGGGTGCAGGGAATCCCCACATCATCTCTCCCACGGCAGCTTCCGCCCCCCAGCCTCACTCACCACAGATCTTGAGCGGCGCTTCCAGCTCCAGCAGGATGGGCTGGCTCAGGAAGATCTCCCGCGACTTGAGGCAGAGGCCCCGGATCTCGTTCTCCGTCAGCTGCACGTTTTTGCCAGGCCGCGAGCCTTGCACTGCAACATAGAACAGTGGGTGTCTGCTGGGTCGAGGTCCTAGCTCCTGCACTGCTCAGAGACACTCCCACAGACCCCAGGGCCACTCCACAGATGCTGGAACGATCCAGGGGGCCACAGGGCTGAACCCGGAGGTTCTTCTGGACAGGCCCGTGTACCACATCCCAGCCAAAGGCCAAGGGTTTGCCCTGCCCCTTCCACTTGAAGGCCAGGTTAACAGGTGACTCAAGACCAGCAAAGGGGGAAGGAAGAAGGCACCACAAGAGTCCTGGCCTAGCCTGGGTCCTCACTGATCTGTGCAGGCAGCTCAAGGAGGTGCAGTTAGGCTGGGCTCACACAGGCCCTTGGCCAGAACCCAGATGGGCTCGTCAAACACTAGGACAGCTGGGAGGCCCTGAGCCCCTCTCCCTCGTCCTGCTGAGCCAGCCAGTGCCCCCCACCATGGAGTAGGATCGGAGCTGGTGCATGCTAGAGGGAAGCCTATTCCCTACTCCCTAGCTCTGGAGTGGCCAACCTGTGGCTCTTCTGAAGTTAATATGTGACTCCTTGCTCAGGGCACTGACTCCGGGGCTGCAGCTCCAGCTGCCAACCTTCCAGTGCTCAACTCGGCTCCACCTCCTCCTCCAAGTGTATTGCACCCTCCCTCCTTCCCTCCCCCACAGAGCCTCCTAAGTGCCATGAAACAGCTGATTGCAGTGGGCAGGAGGTACGGGAAAGGAAAAGGAGGCGCTGACAGGTGGGGCATCTAGTGGGGAAAATATACTGGAGACGGGAAAGGAGGCACCTGATGGGGACTGCTGACAAATTACTGTAGCTCTTGCGCAATGTACATAGGTAAACTGTGGCTCCTTCTCAGGCAGGCCACACTTGCCCTACTGGTCACACTGGAGTGCTTTCCGCCACTGCACACTGCAGAATACACAAGCTTCGAGAGGCAGGTGGCCCAGCAACTGATGCTGGACTGGCATGCTGGGTTCTTTCCCCACCTCTGAATTGCTCTAATCTTAGGCTGCTTCCGTCCCCCATGCCTCGGTTTCCTTATATGACAGGGAACCGATGCCTCTGCTTTGCAATATGTGATGGACAAGAATGGGAGAGCACATAATCTGCCATTCAGCACCTGCTTCAGCCCAGGGTCTAGCCCCAGTGGTCTGCTGCCAATCTGGCCAACGTAACTGGGGTCGTCTCCCCCAACACCCCTAGTGTTAAAAGGATCAGGGAAGTAACAGCTAATCTCCCCCACACATTTTGTTGGCAGCACTGGAACAAAGAAGTTAGCATTAGGAAGACTGGTTAACACCTCCCCCCTCCCCGTTTCCCATATACCAAAGGGGGGGGGGGCTGGCCAGGAAAGCAGGGGTTACTCAACATTCCCCGCACCTACTCTGGCCCCAGGACTGCTCAGGCCGGTCCCAGCCCTCCAGAACTCAGGCTCCTCCCCACACTCCCCCAGGGCTTTCAGGAAGAAGGGAACTGACGTCAGACACAGCAGGGCTCTGGGGGCGGGTGGGGTGAAGGGAGCTCGATTCCCCCCCCGCTCCCCGTAACTAATGTTGCTGGGGGCCGGCCTGGGGGATAGTCCCCATTCTTTGCGTGGAATTAAGTGGCGGGGAGGGGGAAAGGCCAGGCACCCCCCACTCCCCGCCCCCCCCTTCCTCCACGAACAGCCACCCTCTTCCCCCCCATC